TAGGAGTATTAGTTAGCCTTTGGCTTACAGTTCTGGTTTATATAGGAGTATTAGTTAGCCTTTGGCTTACAGTTCTGGTTGTTTAAGGTTGTGAGGTCGCGTCACCCAGCATTACGAGCTCCCTCCATTGAAATAAAAGTTACTGCCGTTAATAAATAGCTTAACATGTAAGTTTTCTTTTAATTTTCTAGTTATTAATTATAACTTATTAGTTGAACTCAAGTAATTCCGAGACAGAATAATTGTTTTTATTTGACGATATAATTTTCCATTGAAAACATACATCATTTGTTTAGTCATGTGATTTTGTTTTTTGATAGTCACACCATACATGTGCGAGCTGCAGTGTGTGGTTAATGAAATGTAAGTGATATGAATAAAAATGTAAGTTGATATAATTGTCTGATAATTATTTTATTCCGATAGCACCTGTCTAGATTTCATAATTACGAATATATTCGGTCTATATAACTGATACACATCTACCCCAAATGACGGCCAAGTTTGTATTGAGTGTGGTATAAAAACCCAGAAGAAAAAATCAAACTTTTGGGAAGTCTCAGATCTAGAAAAATTAAGAAAGTCAATTCTAAACATTCTATTTGTTCCTATGTGATGCTGTCTGACCGAGAAAATATCCCAAAATTTGTCAAAATATTGATTTTCATTTAGTTAAAATATGATTGTTTGACCGTAATCCGTATAATCTTAGCTTGTACATAGAGAATAATACATGTCTTTTTACATATCACACCCAGTATCAACCCGAGACTGCAATATCAGCTAAGTATGTAATAAATGAACCTAATCTGTATCATACAGGGTCGTAATCCGTATCAGCATACAAACCAACTGCATATTTTGATAAAAATATCGCTAAAACTTGTGTTTAGTTCAGACTATTCAATGTTGGTTTTTTTTATATATAATATATAAACTTTATTTATTTTACAAAAATTATGAAACAAGTTTTTTTCAACTTATATTAATCACTCTTATTGGCCCGGATGTTAGCGTGTGGGGGTCTTAGTGTGGGAGGAAACCGGAGTACCCGGAGAAAACCCACGTAATCGGGCAGGTGACCCCAACCTTTTCACGTCCGATCGGGGAATCGAACCCCGGCCGCCATTGTGAAAGGCAACTGCGCTATCCACTGCACAACCCGACCAATGTTGATGAGTTATTGGCAAATACAAGTGTTGTGTGAAAGTAATTTATTTAAATAGTTATTACATTCAAATCTCCACAAAGCTGTATGTAAACTGATGTCCGTATAAACATTGTATATATGATTATTCAGTCAAAACCATTGTAATCTAAAAAAAAAAAAAATGATATAGCAGCTTCAGACATACGTATAACATATAGACTGAGTTACAATGGTAAGTTTATAGAATTTATACAAGAAAGCGCAAAAAATACCTCTCACGCTCTCTCAAGTGAGTATTTTAATCTGCCGTAAGCCGTATTTGGCGCAAAACTAACTTTTTGCTCCGACGTAATCCAAACAGCGAGTATTACTTTGACGTAAGCGAAATAGCGAGTATCGGGATTACCCCCGTGGAATGTGGTTCGCAGGCTTAAAATACTTCTTTATATGACGTCACAATAGACTGTCGTCACGCGAGATTTCCTGTCGTCATTGTCACTGTTGCTAACAATGAAGAAAGCTTCAGCTTAACCAGACGTGCGAATTTGAAGGAGATCAACAAAATCTGTTTTTAATCACTTTCAATTTATGAACGGAACTTTTTAAAGGTATGTAAAGGACGTATTCAATCTTAAACTATTAGCATACCTACAAATGTACCCAATTTTAAAAATACTTTATTGTTTTAACTCTACGCAATGTATTTCATTATTTGTCGGCCATACATGTCTTAAGTGGAGTTACTATTTAACTCATCAATCATACCTGTCTGAAGTGGAGTTACTATTTAACTCATCGATAAGACCTATCTGAAGTGGAGTTACTATTTAACTCATCAATAAAACCTGTCTGTAGCGGAGTTAATCTTTAACTCATCAATCATACCTGTCTAAAGTGGAGTTACCCTTAAATTAATCAATCATATCTATCCTAAGTGGAGTTACTGTTAAACTCACCAATCATACCTGTATAAAGCGGAGTAACTGTTTAACTCACCAATCATACCTGTATAAAGCGGAGTTACTGTTTAACTCATCAATCA